TGAACAAAATATGGGGGAAAAAACTGCAGCGCTACATCTCTTGCTGTTTTTAATATTTGAATAATTTAGGAAAAATATAATTTTTGATCCCTAAAATTTCATTGGGTTTTGCTTTTACGCCCTTTAATTTTTTTTCAATGTTTTTAGTCCCTGTAGAGACTTGAAAAACAAAGGTTACCCAATTTTTTTTGAAATTATAAGGATTAAAAACACTGAAAAAATTATAGAGTAAAAACAAAACCTAATGAAACTATAAGAACCAAAAATTATTCTTTCCCAATAATTTATAAGAACCACATTTTTAAACTGACAAGACTAGGAATAAATTATAATGACTAAGACTCCCATTACTTTTAAAAGAAAGAAGACCTAGACCATTGAGGTCTCTTGATCTTGTTTGGACTTAAAATGAAATGTCAAGCCCAAAGTAATAAGGAGAAAGGAAAATGAAGCAACAGGTCCAATACTTGACTGAAAATGGAGCCCAATCCATGTATAGAGAAGGTTTTGTGCTAAGCATGTACTAAGACCAGGGGCGTGATCCTTAAAACTCAGAGTGATTGAGTGTGGAAGGTCATTAAAAAAATGTGGGATTGTTATCTAATGTGCCTTGAATCTCATTGGACCATGTCTAGCAATAGCAGATATTTTGCAAATGAGCTCCTGATTTTTTTCAACACCATGGTCTCAGGCATTCAAATATAAAATGGGGTCCAACTAATAAAATCAAGGACAGACAATCTCCACATAACATTCTCATTATTTAGTCTCAAATTCAATTTACTTTGTATCCTGTACTCAGATTATATTTTTTTCCCAATTTTATAGTTGTAATCATTGCAACTTTATATTTTAATAAAATCAATCTTTCATTATTTTTGCATCTTCACATCTGAGTGAACTAAAATAAGGGAGCCCAAAGACTCTTTGATCATATTCGAGACTCTACATCTTTGGCATTCTTGGTATTTTTGTTATTCAAACACATCGCCCAATTTTTGACAAACAAATCTATATAATAATTAAATCACTGATTTTTATTAATGACCAAGTACTGAAATTTGAAACAACTAGGGATAATTTGTAATATTTAATACACCAACATTAGCATACTTATACATACCTGCATTAATTTGTGGATGGGTATATATTTGGTATCTATTTCAGGGCAATACTATCTTATAATGTAAACATTTATTGCATTGTTTTAAACTACAAAAGCATAATACTATATAAATTATACTTAAAATTATTTACACCATAATTTTTTATTGTAACAGCCAAGTTTGTCCTAAAATGTGATATACATTTTTAAATGATAGGGAAAAATTATAGTACCTTTTAGGTAGTATTAGATGTTAATCAGTGTAGCAGTGTATGTATGATATTTATAAGCTTCATTTAATGAAGTCAATGCAAAATAAATTAAATACTGAGGCTGTGTTTGGATGCATGGGGATTTGAATTTGAATCAAATTTTCATTTGGATGCATACAAGTCTATGAATTGTTTTAATATAAATTCTTTGTAATTTTATTTAATAAGACCAAAACTTTTTATTAAAAAAAGACCAAAATAAATGGATGGATGGTTGGCCAAAAAAGAATAACAAATGTTGGCTTTGCATGTTCTTCTATGCTCCTTGTAAACGTCAATTTTCTAGGAAACCAGCTCGTGATAATTTTATATCAAATTTGTCATTATTGTAAGTTTAACAAAACTAAATTTTGGAAACATATCAGATTATATATATATATATATATATATAATTTTTTTTTGGGGTAAGTGGGACATGTGGTAATCTTATTTGGTAGCCAATAGATTATTTAGTGTTGTTTTATTTATGCCCGTGTGTAAAATATTTTGAAGTGTCCACAATCAAAATATATAATGAAAGTAAATGACTTGTAATTATGTTGATTGGCGGGCTGTATCAAGAGTTTGCAAGTAAAATATATTATTACCTAAAAATCATTTCCCTTAACAAATCAACAAATTTTACTCGTACATCTATATTCTGAGAGTTGCAAATAAGAGTACGAGAGTAAAAAATAACTTGAAATAGTGATATTTTTTACAAGTTTTTCTTTTACAAATTAGAAAATTTCATTTATAAGTTCTTGGTTTAATGGTTGCAAATCATGGAATGAGAGTAGCGAATTTTAGACTAATTTACTAAAAGATCGTTGGTCCTTATTTTATATTTTAAAATTTTGAAGCCCTTAATTAAATTTAACTCAATCTTTTGATTCTTTGATGTCATTCTCCTTTTATATTTTTTGGCTTGGTGTTTTTTCGTCTTTAGCAGGCTTATTATTCATCAAAAAGTTTGGGAAAAGCCTGCAAAAATAGTTCAAGCCCCATGCTATCTTTGTCACGATTTTTTTTTCACAGACATCTTATGAAATTTTCTATGCAAGTTATTCCGACGAGAAATGTAGCGGAAATTTTTTTTAAAAAAATTCTTATACTAATTTTTTGGGAAAAAATACTACTTTCTAGAAGTGAACAAAAGATGAAAAAAAAAAAAAACTGCAGCACTACATCTCTTGATGTTTTTAATATTCGAATAATTTATAACGACCAAATTTCTAAACCGACAAGACTTGGAATAAATTATAATGACCAGGACTCTCATTACTTATAAAAGAAAGAAGACCTAGACCATCGAGGTCTCCAGATCTATGTAATATTTAAATCACTGATGTGTAATATGATATTACACTAAAGCAATATGATATTCGAATACTTTAATTTATTGCAGAAGTGAAGTTATATTTATGCACGAACCACTTGGGCGTGAAATAAAATATGGAGAATAAAAAATAAATTGTATAAAAATAGGTAAATGATAAAAGAGTTTCAGAAACTCAGATAATTATTATAAAATCTTTAGAGACTTATATGACATAATTTTTTTTAAGATTATATTTCTAATCCTGTATTTTATTTTTTGCTGTTTTGCGTTATGCCATTAAAAAAAATTATTGCCAGTTGAATAAATTTATATTTATATATATAATTGATGATTTGTTCAGTCTGTGACCTTTACGGCAATATATATATTGTTAATTGTATATATTATTATTAATTCTTGCACTATTATTTTTTAAGACACTACTTGATATACATTTTACATTACAGTACCGTTTCAGCGTGTCAGTGCCTGAACTGTGGAATCCTAACCATTGTGTGCATTGGCTGACAATTCAAACACGGAATTCCTGTTGATGGACTAAAAAATCTTTATTTTCTCTTTTGTCAAAAAAGAGAAATATATTTTTTTTAATTTTACTGCCTGATATCTTGAAAAATATGTGAATATAACCATTTTTTTTTTTTTTGTATTATTGTCAAACTTTCAAATTGGCTTTATGAGCTTATCATTTTTAAATTTTTAATTTATAAAATCATGTTAACTAGCTCGTAAACTCAAATTAGATAAAACTCGGTCAAAATTGATGAGTTGACTCTTCAAGCTTACCATTTTTATATTTCTAACTTATAAAATCGTGTTAATATGATTATAAACTCATTGATTAAAATAGGTATATACTGTGTAAAACTTGAAGTGGTAAGATTTGATTTAATGAAAAATAAAACTCAAAAAAACAAAAAAGAATATTAATAAAAAAGAAAACAATAATACCCAAAATTTCCTTATTTTGAAATTTCTATTTTGAATATAATGATTTATGAATGTAGATAGATTTAATTTCAATGATTTATATTTAAAATATATTTAAATTAAATTATGGCCATATTTTAAATTTTAATGAGTTTACATTTCAAATTTACAGCTTTATGATTAGTTTACTTAAACTTGCAAGTTTAACAACCTTGCTTCCTAGACTAATTAATCAAATTTTTGTTCTGTGAGACCATTTTTATTGATGAGATTATAACATCGGGTGAGTGACAATTTGGTCCAAAACAATTAAATTAATGATAATTAGGTCCCCAATAAAATTTTTTAAAGAATGAATTATAAATATTCTTTTAAACAGTTATAGACAAAAGCTCCTGTTATACATTAAAAGTTACATTTGATACTTAAATACTTCTTTACAATTTAAAACTCTTGAATTCATAATTATCTGGATTGATTTTTTTAAATTATTTTTCAACAAAAATTTGTCGAGGACTTCTTTGTCATTAATTTAATATTTTGAGATCTAATTGTCATTCTTCCTATAACGTTTGAAATATTATATATTTAAAACCATCCTTTTTCATCACTCCATATTTATCTCATTTGAATTTAATTAAGAGTAATTTTGACAAATTATATTACACTCAACTACTCTAATCTAGGAGGATTTGAGACCCTAAACTCTTTTTTGGTATAATATTCCTTTTTAACTTTTTAAAACAATGCAATATGGCCCCTATTATTAACAAAGGTTAATTTTGATAGTTAGTTAACTAAAAAATTATATAAAATGGCATTAAAATTATAGAGAATAAATAAGAAAATTATAAAAAATTAACCAAAAATAAAAAAAAGACCACAAAAATTTCTTGGGTTTTAGTAATTTTGGGGTCATTTTCTCTAATTTTTTAGTCATCTAATAGTCAAAATTAATATTGTTAACAGTAGGGGTCATATTGCATTGTTTTGAAAAGTTTAAAGGCAATATTACACTAAAAAAAGTTTAGGATCCCGACTCTAGCTATTGGACTATAATTTAGGGACTAATTTGCCATTTAACCCCCATTTTTTAATTTTGACTAGAACCCCTTTTTTTAATTTAAGTAAAATAGTTAATAGATCCTTGTAATAAGAACCAAAGGTAAGAGATACTCTATTTTGTCCTATTTATAAGTTACTTCCCTCATGTTTTACCAAAACCAATGAAACATTAAAATTTTAAAAAATTATTTTTTCAATTGCATGTTAAAATTTAGTAAATTTTACCTCTACTCCCTAATAAGGATAAAAAGAATTATTTTTAATAAATTTTTTTAACATTTAATAATAGTAAAAAAGTAAGGTGAACATAAAAAAAATAGTAAAATACTCTTATAAATAGAATCAAAATTAAGTTTTTTTCTCCTTGTCCTATAAACAAGACTAGAAGAATATATTTTATTTGAGGAATCAGACACTAAGTAAAGAGACAGGGGGTTAAGTTCGATGCAACTGTCCATATGACCTTGCTAACAAAAAGGAGCCTTGCAACGTCCTCCCTGTAAAAAAGGAAAAAACAATTATGATGGGAAATGAGATTAAAAACTCAAAAGATTTAATCAAAATAAAATAAGGAACAAAAAAATTGGAAATCAAAAGGACTAAAAATTCTTTAGTGAATTGGTGTAAAAAATTTCTACTATATATCTTTTCATGATTATAAGGATTAAAACAAAAATTTACAAGTGAAATTTGCTAATTTATATAAAAAAAACTTGTTATTCTCATATACCTTTATTAGCAACTCTCAAAGCATGAGTTTGCAAGAAAGATTCATTAATTTGTAAATAAAAATTATTTCCAAATAATGATATATTTGAAAAACATTTTATTTACAAAATAACGATTCTCACTTGCAAAATGCATTATTCCATCAAATAAAATTTTAAATATAAGAATAACAAATAAATCCCACCAAAATTAAATAGTTAAATGACAAAAGATTACCATGAAATTAATGGAATAATTACTTTGAACAAGTCCCTGGAGACTTTCCACTGACAATTTTTTTTTTTTGAAAAATCATGTTTGTGACTCTCAGCAAAATAATAGAAAGTTAGTTGGTTATCATTTTCTACTCAATTTTAGTCTTTTTCCCATTTGAAATAATCATTTTTTTTTTCATCTAAAGTAGTCACTGACCTACAGACCGTTCCGCTTGACTGATTAAAAAAATTCCAAAAAGTTAGTTGTCATTTATTGATCAATTTATAATCAATCGCCTAATTGAAATATTCATTTTCCCATTTAAAATAGCCACTGGCTCGTTACTTTCTTTCCATTCTTTTGCAGAAGGTCAGAAACATAATTTCACAAAAATTATGTAAGATATATAAGCTCCTGACTTTAGAATAATTATCTAAAATTTAAATCCAAGTCCATCTATTCAAATACTATGTTGTAATTATTCTATCTGGTCCTATTTATAATCATTTTCAGTATTTTCACCAGAATTAAGAAAAATCTTAAACCTAATTAACTATGTCTACAAATTTAAAAGTTTTTGACTTTATCCTTATTAAATTTATATACTACAAAGCAAAATACTCTAACATTTAATAATCATTTAATAATATTCTCAATATTTAATTGGGGCAAAAATATAAAGATAGATACAATAATCATTGAGACGCCCTATAAAAATGGGACCAAAATAACTAATTTCTCTCTGCCCAATAAATAACACTAGAGGAGTAACTTTTATCGTAAAAATGAAGTTATATTTAATTCAGGAGCCACTCAGGCGGGTAAACTAATAATTAATTAAGCAGGGATCCAAAAAGTCTCGAACTCATCCCACAGGTTATATTCATAAATAACCTTGTAATATTTATGAATGTGGAAATTGGAACACTGAATATAATTGGGGGAAAAACAAAAGACAGCAAACAAAGCAAAAGAAAAAAAAAATCTATGAACTTACGCGATGTGTGATGGAAAGTGTATGATGAGAAAACGACGTCGTGAAGGTTAAAGATCATCAGCAAATAAAGAAGCAGTGTTGCAATCAAAGAGTGTAACTCCATCGTCTTCGACACACAGACGAATCTCTTGAAGAAGACTTTGACCTGTGGCATCCTTAACAGCGTTCTGTATGTTTGTTTCATCGTGTGGAGTAGCTGCATCTGGATTGATACCTAAAACAAATTAATTGAACCAGAAATTAATATAATTGATATCGATGTCAATCAAAGCTATTGGAATTCGAACGAGAGTTGATGTGGGAATTCTTAACAGATAAAATTGAGACAAAGATGAAGGATACGATTAACAGAAATAATCATGAACATGTTTTTGTGACTTTAAGATTAAAATGCGGTGTCAAGCTTACTTATGTACACACACATATATCAATACTATCAGTAATCATTGAATACCATTTTTCTCCCAAATTTTTTTAGGAACTCCGTACTGAAGGTTGAGATAATATCCTCCTTAAACAATTTTTTTCAAGAGAAAAATTGTCCTTCCATTATATATAACATCTTTTCTATTATTTATTAATATGAAATAGTTGTAAAACTCACATACAGTGACAATAAGATATGTTGACCACCTCACATGAGCCAAAGGGGCTAGAAGGGAAGTGGCAAGAATCGGGCCTGATTTTAACATTGAAATGGTGGTAAATGGGTCAAAATGCCTTATTGTTATTGTGCATGCATGGGTCCCACAACTATTTCACATTAATAAATAATGGAAAAGATGATAGGTTTTTGATGAAAAAGCAATTTCACTCTTTAAAAAAAAAAACTTGTTTATGAGGAATGTTGCCCACCCTTATGATGTCTAATGTTCTTCAAAAAAAAAATCAGGGAAAAAATGGGTTTAACCCATTAGTGATTTAACAACTAAATTAAATTGAAGACATGGATTTTCCCTTAACTAATTACCTGCTGCTCTCATTTTGGACAGGATGGGTTGAGCATAGTTTTTCGCGAGATCAATAGTTATTTTGAGATACTGTTGTGTTGAGAACTTGTTTGAAGAACAGGTTCCATGCTTGTTCCACTCGTATTGCCAGAATCTCATGCTTTTGTCAAAATCGTTTGCATCATGTAAATCTGGCCAGTAGGCAAGCAGATCTTGCTCGAACTTACGAAGCTGCATTCATGCACACGCATTATCTCTCTCTCTCTCTCTCTCTCTCTCTCTACACACACACACACCAATTGGACATTAAACAAACAAGAAATAAAGCGAGAAAAAGATATCAGTTTAATTACATCGTCAGGAGTCATATCCGGCGCGGGTCGACAATTTGCAGGAGCTTTCCCAGAATTGAACTGAGGCCAGAGTCCATGAATGGTGAAATCTTGCTGGGTTGGAGGGTTTGGATTGCAAGGGGGTTTTCCCATTGGCTGAGTTTTGCAGAAAGTGTTTGGCCATTGTAAGGCCAACAAAAAATAATCGAATCCTGGTTTGAGTTGGACGGCACTAAATAGGTTTGTATTTTTTTTGGTGGTGTTGTAATTGAAGTAATACAAACACAACCAAGCCAGTATTAGAGGAACAATAAACACCAACACTTGTTTTGATGAGATCCTCATGGTTATTGATTGTGTTGTGTTGCTCTTTCTGGGACCATTCGTGCTTGCAAGCTAGCCACGGTTTTATAGCCCTCTTCAGCATCATGTTGAATTTAATACTCCTCTGAACATAGCCGATCATCGTTGAAGTCGCCAGAAAACCACTTGGAATATAAAATTTATGACGACCAAGACTTTAATCTCTATTTACTCTTTTATTTAAAAATTTAAGACATTTTTTTTAGTTAAGATGTTTCAAAGTATAAGATATTATAGTTTTTTTTAATATGTTATTAATTTTTTTAAAAAAATATTTTTTAATAAATAAACCATCAACCCTAGTGAGATATCCTATTAATTAAACAAGGAAGAACATAAACATAAAATATTGTTATATGCTATTAGGTTTTATAGCCGCCTCTCTAACATCAAATGGGGAATCAAATTCAACATGTAAACTTTAAATATTCTTTTCTTCTTTTTATTTTATCTCTAACCTAGTTTTTTTTTCGGTTGGTAAGAAAAGGAGACATACTCTGATATACATACATACATATGCCTCTTATGGTAATGTAAGGTTTGAGTCCTAAACCTCACACCTAAGAACATGTGGCATTACTATTAAAATAACTAGACGTTGAGTTATTTATTGTTTTGCTAAACAAAAATCATGGTGCAAATTTAATGCTCCGAATATAGCCTATCATCGTTGAAGCGGCAAGACACTTGGAATATTATAATTTTTGACGTCCTAGAGACTATAATCTCTATTATTTATTAAAAAAGACCAAGAATCGATCTGATGTTTGTAATATTTTTCGCCAATAATTATATTGTAATCTTGGGATCATAATAGTGACCAAAATATCAAATTAGAAAGTTAGAAACACTTGCCTCCATTTTCTCTCTCATTCAAATTAGTTCTTGTTAAGAATACGATATTACAGTTTTTCAAATTTTAACGTATTCTTTATCTCAAAAACCAATCTATGAGAACAATATATACTTTTAAAAGTACCCTTCATTTAATAAGAGAGAGAGAAATATGTATATTTAAGGAATGTAATAATGAGGGGCAATTCTGAAATAAGCTCACTAATAAATGTTTATTTTTCTCAAAGCATATCATATTATAGGATATCAAAACACTCCAAAAAGTGTCATAATATTTTGAAATAGAGTTAATGATTTTTAATGTTTTCATTAGTTTCAATTAAATATGTTAAAAGAAACTTATAAATAAGATCAGAATGAATATTTTAGTGTAACACTATCTTATAATTTTAACAGTTATTGCATTATGATATTGGATTTTAAACAAAGCACGATATTATTGAATATTTAAACTATAATTTTTTAGTGTATCAGTCAAATTTGTCCTTAAATGTTATATTTGTTTCAAGATGATGTTACGTAAAAAACAAAAAACAAAAAGTATACCTTTGGTAGTATTAGATGTTGTCTCTAATTTATCACACTATTCTATACTATTTAATATTGTGGACGCCATTATTTTTAAATTTTTAGCATCAAAACTTTTAATAAATCATACTGACTCGGTATATATAGAGAACGATGACCATATTATTAAATTAAAACCACTAGGGATAATTTGCAATATTATTATATATAACAACCATTAATTTATCGGTCTATATATATAAGGATGAAGGATCCATTTCAGCATGTATCTTATATTTTTTATAATTTCTTACTTTACAATATATGATATATATTAAACTAAAAAAATATTTAGCCAAAACAATATTTTAGAAAATATAATATTACTTAAAATTTTCAAATAATGAATTTTTAGTGCAAAATCTAAATTTGTCTTCAACAAATTATTCCCTCCTATCCTATAAGTAAGTCAATTATATCCGGTGTTTTAAAAACCAAACTGGTTATCAAATTGGTCGACACAATGATTCAATGTTCATTGGTTGAACTGTGGTTGAACCATAGTCAAACCACTTATTATTAAATTAATATATTTTAATAAAATTTTAAAATTTTAATATAAAAATAATAATATCAAGAATAAATTTTTCAAATAGTAATAAAATAAATTAAAAATTAAAATCGGTTTTGATATTTATCAAATTAAATTTCTATATTATATAACTTCTATTTTGATCGGAAAATGTCTATTATTTAAATTAAATATGATTTTAGAAAGCTAATAATTATTTATAAGTTAGTTCTAACTCCTGGCTACAGGCTTGTGATTTGCTTTGGGCGGTTTCACCCGATAAAGGGGTAGATTTTATTTTTTTTTAATTAAATCTTAACAAATATTTTAATAAAAATAAACAAATCATAGCTGATGTAATTATAGTTCCCACGATTTTAGCATTGATGATTTACACTGTCTAAAGAAACTTTTCCCTATCTCTTTGCATATTCTGATAGCCGTGCAACATATATTTTTGCAACGCCATTTTTTGATACACGATAGTTCTTCAAGATTTCAAATCCTCCACTATTTTCGATGGGTCACAGTGCTCCTCCAGTTCTGCCTTCCCCCATTCCATCATCATCATCTTCAATCCATCTACTGTTTGTCCTCCTCCACCCTTTTCTCGTTTGTGCTGTAGTCTTCAGAAATTTGACCCACCCGGTTCACATAAACCGGCTCTGGTTCTGGCTCAACATTTTATTTTGGGCAGTTCAATCCGGGTCAACCATCCAAATGGTCTAAATCTGCAAACAGAACTGCTGTGAAAAGGATGATGGTCTAACTGATAGAGGTTTCAAAACTCATTTTCTTTACTCTGCATATAGAAAAACGCATTTTTTTTATGCAAATTGGCTTAAAAAAGGAATCAATTTATTTGTAAAGTACTCCCTCCAGTCCAAAATATAAAATATTTCTAACTACCTTCACATGAATTAAGGAAAGTAATTAAAAGTGATTTGTGTCATTAAATTGGTAAAAATTATCACTATTTTTTAAGATTACCCTCCAACTTATACAATCTATCTTAATTAATGTTTGCAAGGATTTTGGTGCGAGGGAGCGCGTCCTCAAACAATGTGATACACATGATTTTTAAATTAAATAGTTAGTTCTCCAGGGTCTTTTGCCACAATTTATCCAAAAAAAAGTGTTTAAAAATAGGGAGAATTATAGTTACGTCCCACATAAGGAAATTAATTACTGCAAGGTCCATTAACAACTAAACTATACAGTTTATTTCAATTGTCAATAAACCTTGCAGTAATTAATTCTCTTATATAGGATTTTAATATAATTGTCCCTTAAAAATAAAGAAAATGAGATTGAACAAAGCACAAGAACTTCATAATGGAAGCAGATATAATAATAATAATATTATTATTATTCTGGAATAAATTATAGAAACTATAATACAGAAAAACAACAGGAGAACGTGGGAGCGGCTATGTTGTTGTTCTTCTAGGTACTATCGCTTTGCTAGGCGTTGGAGACTTGCTGTTCTCTCATGGATGCATGTTGAAATAAAGGAACTACATCTAAATTTGCTACAAAAGGAAGTGCCTATGTCTAATTCCAGGTGCTAGTTGATGTGTTGAGTTGATTGGAGTTAGAGAGGTCTGTATGTGTGTTTTGCTTCCCTTTTTATAGGCAAAAGGTGGCAGATTTCCAATTGCCCCATGATGGAGCTACTTGTTAGCTTATGGGCAAGGTTGTCAAGATCGTGGGTTAAAGCAAACTCATAATAGGGATGTAAAATCGAATCATAAATCCTGATCGTAAACTCATAAAAAGTTACTTTTATTAATAAATAACTATTAAAAGTATATGATTAAATAATTAAAATATAAAATATGATCCTAATTTGATTTAAATATATTTTAAATATAAATCCTTGAAATTAAACCTACTTATATTAATAGATGATCATACGCAACATAGAAATTTCAAAAGAGAGCAACTTATTTTTTTCATTTTCTTTTTTATTAATATTAATTTTTTTCATTTTATTTTTCTTTGAATAGTGTCCACCACTTCAATAAAGTGAGTTTTAAACAATATACACCTAACTTATTCAATTCAGTTAAAACCAACAAGTTTAGCAAGCCCAATTGATTGTATCTAATTTAAGTTTATGAGTAGGTTGATATGATTTTGTAAACTAGAAATGAAAAGGCAATAAACTCGAAGATTCAACTCGAGAGTTTAACAACCATGCTTATGGGGGGCGATTTCTCCCACAAGATTGGGAAAGATTGTACAAAATGACCTAAAAAAATTTCTATGCCCCACTAAAAAAATTTAAGAATAAATTTACTTGGCCCCTAAAAATTTCATTTATCCTTCTAAAAATTTATTTAACTCAAATCAAATATAGGTTATAATCTCAAATAATAATGGTTTTAGAGGGGAGGGAATAATGTAATTCAAAAAATAAATTTCTTTATTTGTTTAAATAGAGCAATGTACCACAAAAAGTTGTCTACTAAAGGTAAATAAATTTTATTTAAAAACATAACTTTAATAACTATAAAAAATTATTAAAATTCGGAATGTTTTATCTAATACATCATTGTATTTTTATGCACTATGTCCTATTCTTTAGTAGTTAATTTTAACAAATTATTACCTTGAATGAAATTTAATAAATATTTAAAATGATATTTTACAAAATAATTTATATTTATCTTGAGTAAAATTTTTGCCTCCACTACCCATTTTTTTTGGGTCCATCACTGCAATGGCCCCATGTTCCAACTTTCTAGAGCAATTTTCTACAATTTTTCCCAAGTTTGCTCTACTTCCACCTTTTGGAGTGATGTGTCAGTGTAGTTTTTTGTCCTATAACTTCATCTCTTCTAAAATTTTTAGGTGAGCTTGGGAAAAAATTATATTTTTACTCAAACAATTGAACTTCCCTCCTTTCTAAAAGCTCGAGGTAGGCTTGAGTCAAAAAAAATTATTTTAACCCAAACAATTATCTTTAATTTTTCTCTTATATAACATCTATCCACAATATAATTAATAAGGGTATTTGTGAAAAATAAGCATTTAATGCTATTTACTTTTTGCATGGTGTCCTCATTTTGGACCAACACTAGATGATGGA